ACTGAGCTCATTTATCCTCATTTACAGTTTCTCAGCTATAGCCTTTCCTCTGTAAGTCACAGGCCATTCCTGGCTCTGCTGAACGTGTGCTGCAGGCAGCTTTACAGCTCAGTGGCACTTTATCTATTCTGTGTGAAAATACAGATTCCCAAAGGCTACTTGAATTCCCTAGAGTAGAAACTGTAATTTTTACACAGTAAGTATAATATAAATCTGTTTCAAGCAATTGATCTAGCCTGCCAAGTCCACCAAGGTGAGACTGTACCTTCAGGTGTGTTGTGAAGGTGGTTATGTCCGTTCCTTCTCACAAATTTTATTTTCAGTGTACACACTATGTGCAGCAGCTGACTGAGGTGCAGAGCTAATAGGTATATTCCTTGTTGATGCACTCAAACTCCCTCAACTCTGCCAGCAATGGGCAGTTAAGCTACCAGGTTAGTTTTTGTGAGGTGGCAAAAAAGATGTCCCTGTGTGTTGGGTTACTGGTTTATTCTGGATGTGTCAAAGAAGTACACAGATTGAATTGCCATTTTCTTTTTCCACATATGTGTTTTGGCTGCTCTAGCACAGCCTGCAGGCCTTGCCTGAGCAGATATGTTGGTTTGCATCTAATGGCCTTTTTCTGAAATTCTGATCAGGAATAATAAATTCCTACACAATAAACCTATGCTGTATTGTGTAGTCCTTGTAGGAGCCATTGTATGCAATTACTATAATGATTCCCCTGTAGTTCTAAAGCCTTTGCTCTTAAATTGCTCTGAGGTGTGTGTTAGACTCCTCCGGTGCACTAAAACCCCTCTGCATTCTTTAAGAGACACCAAGGGGAATTCTGTAGAGTAGCTCAAATGGATCCATGCCCCATGTGGACTCCACCTCATCTTTAGCAAGGCTGCTAAGTGGAAGAGGTGGTGGGTGCTTCAACAGCTGTTCAGCACTGAACTCTCCAAGCCTCAGTTTGAAGATAAGAATTGAAGTAGTTAGTTTGTATTGTTTGTATTGAGGAATATTACGTTGCTTCTGTTCATCTTGATTTTCATGGATTGGAGCACTACATGGATTGGAGCCCCTGAGAGGGCTCACTTACAAAAAATATCCTCAATGCCTTGAGTTATATATATGCATGGTTTGAATTGCCCCAGTTGCATCATCCAGCACAGCACAGAACCTATTACATTTGAGAGCTTTCTCTTAGGATCTACAACCGATCAGCTTTTCTCTATATTTTGAAAGGGGCTCATCCTGTTAGACTATCTCAGATAATGTCAAGCATATGCCCATAGAACCAAAGCCCTCTCAAAATGCAGCACATTGATAACATTGCCTTCTAAAAGGCAGGAGACTCAGGAAATCTTCCATTGCTGGATGGCATTTCAGCCCACATGGCCCAGCTGCTAGGCTGTTCCTCTGCCCACTGCAAAGCTTTACAGGGAAATGTTAAAGCCTTGCCCAGCAGGGACAGGTAGCTCCTAGGATACTTAGGGGAGGAGAGAGGGTGCAGGGCAGTTTGTACATTTTAACCAGTTTGTACATTTGACTGTTTAGTGCAAAATGGTACAGCTTAAGATATTTGGAGGATATTTCCATATCCCAAATTAGTTGTTTCCTGATGAGTTGAAATCCTGGTGTGGATTTGACAGTTGCCTAGAAAAAGCACCCAGACTGTCAGGTCCCATTTCTCCTGCCCATTTGGCTTCAGCCATGGATGGCTGAATGGCTGTTTCCACTTGACTCTGCAGTGCCAGCTGGGTCACTCACAGTTCTCACACAGAGTCCCCAGAAGCAGCTGCAGCTATGGGAGACTTGGCTTTCTGGCAGCTGGTGCTGCTCAGTGGAAGCTGCAAGTACGTGCAGCCTTCACCCAAGTGCCTGAAGCAAGAACTGGTCTGCAATCAGAAGTTGTGCTTGCTGCAATTTCTGACCTGTAACAGTTTATAATTTATTTACATCTCCTGTCAGAGTTAGTACCTTACATACCACAGAGAAGTTAATCCCCTTCAACAGAGAAAACCCCACTTCTTTGACAAAAAAAACCTAAAAAACCATGTGAAATTTTCAACTCTAAAAACATCTGAAAAAGGGTTCTGCTGATGGAAACAATGGGTGGTAACAGCATTCAGTGAATTTATTGTTCCAGTGAGTGGTTTTCAGTGCAGAATTTCTCAGAAGAGCTGCAGTAGGTAATTTTTCTGTGACTTCATATGCAGTTGGAAAACACCCACTTCATCTTGTTTGTGCTGTTTTATTTAAACTCAATTGGCTTAATCCCATGGCAGCCAGGTTCATTTGATATTTCTCCATTAGCTAAGCACTGCTGGATGCTCCAGCACAATGTGCTTTATGTCAAGGAGTGAAAAACACAGAAGCAGATTGTAATGTTGGTAGCATTCCCTGCCATTGCCCTTTTGTTCCTATTGAACATTGTGTTCTGCCGTAAGGCTACACTGACAAGAGGTGACATGGCAAGCAACACTGAGGTAAGGGGAAACCACTTTGCATCATTATCCTTGAGCTCTACAAACTGCCCTTTGTTGCTTGGTGGCCCAATGCCCACACATCTTCATTCTTGTGCTGGCTCTTCCTTGCCTTGTTGATTCATTCTGGGTGAAGAAGCTCCTATAAAAATAAGGCAAACACCTCATCATTGCTTCTACATTGGGAAGTGCTATTTCAGTTGCTAGGGGATGTACTTAGAAAATAAACTCTTCCATTTCAGGCTATCTTACCTTATGCTGTTCTGTTGTTTCAGCTAATTTTCCAAAGAATCATACTTTGGTTTAGTTGTTCTATCTATTAATATCTGGGAGGAAGTCCTAATTAAAACTTTAAACTGCTTGAGAACTAAACTCACATGCATGCATATATCACAAGGAGCCTAAACTGAGTCACTTTCTATGGCAATATGTTGCCTAAGTTCCTGAAGAGGAAGAAAGAGGAATGCTACAAAATCTGAGGGAAATTGTAGTGCAACCTGTGATTGGCTCAGGTCAAATTAGTGTAGTGTAGGTAAAAATGTTCGAGTAGAACACATCAAATAGAGTCTTAAACTTCAACAGTCTTCTTGTGAAAATTGTCTGATATGTCTGGTAAGAAAATCAAATGGGTCAGCAAATTTTCTATGAATGAGTCTCAAGCACATGTGGAGAAGTTGTCCACCTATGGGTTCAGGCAATAGCTCTATCAATGGAAACCAAGGAATCTAGATGGAGATAAAAAATTGTAAATTAAATAAGTGGCCCCAGATTAAACATTTCAAAAATACAGATTCATATAGGTGTGTCTAAGGTTTTCTAAGGCAGCATTGGTAAGAACTGAAATAAAAGTCCTTGGAGTGCATTAGGTAAAGAACAGTCTATGCTTGCAAGTAATTTTAGCAGCTAAATGGCTCTGCTCATCTCATCTCATTCTCTGATACCTAATGATAATGTCTCCAGTTTCACACATTGATTTTTAAACAATGCTTGTCAAAATAAAGTGAGTTCTGTAGTCAAATTAGCACAGTCACAGGTTTGCTGCCTTCTCCACACCTCATTGGAAATGCCACACTGTTGGAGCAAGCTAATTTCCTTATGCTCAAGGTGACTGTTGGAGTGGAGCTTGGAGTGTTCTGCCCTGGCCATTTGCAGGAAGGACCAGCTGCAACACAGTACAGCCCATCCTCTAGAAAATGTTCCATTCTCCCTGAAAACTTCTTGAAATCTCTAAGAGACTTCTAAGAGCCAATAAGAGACTTCTCACCAAATCATCTTCTTAGTGGACTCCAGACAAACACCCTTGGAGTTTTTGCAGTACTTGGTATTAAATTAAGTGTGGTTTTAGTCAGAAAGTGGGTGGGAGGAAGAGCAGAGGAATTTAGTACTGGCAAAAGGTACAGTATGGACAACCCTGGAAACACTAATTCATGTAAATTGTGGGACAAGGTCTGTGGGGTGGAGTTTCCTCTCTGTCTCTCTTGCTCCATGGGAAACAACACATGGAGGGAAGGAGAATTCAGGTATTATGATTCCTGAACCTGCTACAGACTTTAGGCTCTAGCACGCCAGTATAGGGCCCTACAGACAGGCAGTAAATTTACTAAAGACAGGCTCTTGAGGCATGCCTGCTGATCAGTTCCCTGTGTCTCTTCTGTGCCTGCTAAGGGATTTAGTAAAATGTAAAGGGAAGTACATTTTATGTGGTCTAAGCCAGATACAGCTATTAAAATCTGGCACCTGTATGTCTGCATGGCTAAATGCTACAGAAGAAAGGGTCTGCAGTGTGAAGCAGTTTGTTTCATTGTGCTGAATTTGATATGACCTTGGAAAACAGTATCTGTGCTGGCAGAGTGTAATCCAAGTCAGTGCCAGGAGCATCTAGGATGGAACAGAGATACTTACAACCTAGGCTGGGTTTTTAAATTGCTTTCCCCCCCATATTAGGGAGGGAAATACCTCATTCTCCGCATACTATATGAGGAGAAATTAGAGGGTGGTATGGTAGAATAGGAAAAGGACCCCCAGATACTGTAATTTGACTGGACCACTGTGTCAGCCCAAGGAAGAAAAGGGAGGACCAAGAACAGCTTCTCAGGCATCTCATCTACCTAGTCATACTCGGCTTCTGGGCTCCTCAAGGTCTTGCCAGCAACAGCTTAAATATTTTTCCCAGACTTTTTGAGCTACTTGCTAAAGGAATGTCATTGTCTTGGTTGAGAAGCCCCAGCAGGCCTGTTCTTTTACCCATGGACTGCCTGGAGAACAGAGTCAGCAAAGCCGGTGAGGGCCACAAATTGTTTTTCCTGGTTTCTGTTATGATGCTGACAAGACCTACAGCTGGCAGGGATCCCTGTGCATGTCAGCATGGAAGTTGGCAGTTACTGCTGTTTCTGACTGCAGGAGATGCTCCTTTCTGTTCTGAGCAACAGGGAATTCACCCTGTTGATGTGGTGGTGTGGATGGGGATGACATTGCCTCTACACTTGCTTTGGTACTATTAACCATGCTCCCTTTTGGTTTACTCCACAGATATTATGTGGGAAAGAGATCCCCCGCTGGGTGAACCGCCTAGCCTACTTCAGCTCCTGCATCCCCTTCCTCCAGAGCTGCCTCCCCAAGGAATGGCTGACCCCAGCAGCCCTGCAGAGCCACATCAGCCTTGGTCTCCACAAGGAGGAACAAGGGGACACAACAGATGAGGAGTCTCCCTCCACCTCTGCAGCCCCCTCAGCCTCAGGCACATCACGAACCTGTAGACATACACGAGTCTAAACTGCCCAGTTTCCCCCCAAATAACATCCCTGCTCTCTTGTTCTATTTATTTCTCACACCCTTTCGCACACATTGGTTTCTCTCTTCAACAGACAACACAGGGGAGGGAAGACCCCTTCTGCTTCAGTCCCTTTTCCAAGGACTGCCACTACAGTTGCTTGGCAAAATGACTGTGAACCCCAAGACAGAACTGAGGATTGTGATGACTAAACTATATTCTCCTCTAGGGGTCTCCTTGATCTACAGAGAACTGCTGACTCTCTCAGGCATGAGAGCATGTGTATGGGCAGAGTGCACATACTGTGATGTTCCTTCTCTGGAACTGTTTTATCTTTTTATCTCTCCCTCTACCCATTTAAGACCAGCAGTCTCTTCTCTATTTTGGCTGGATTTTCCCTTCCCCAATGACAAATCACCTGCCCACACCCAGTGAAGGAACCAGAGCCAGAACTCAACCTTCTCATCTCTCAGACCAGCAACAAACTCCACTCAGATCCATCCCTTTTGTAATTATCAGGTTTCTAACTCATGTGAAGGACAAATGAAAGGTGCTCCTGTTCTACAAACCACCTGTTTTCAGTACTCAAATTTAAGAGCTTAAATGATTGTCCTGCTCTTGAAAATAATAAGAACCTAGAAAATGAATGTGTTACTGTGGCTTTTCTTTGGGGTCAAAAAGAGCACAGGGCTGTGGTGATTAGAGGCAGCTACTAAGTAGATGTAGAGGTTACTTGACCATATTGGTGCTTTTTGGCACAGACCCATCTCAGTTTTCCTAATCCTAGGCAGTGTTCCCAGTTTCCTTTTTTCTCCCAGATTCCCTAGGGAATCTCTCTCCTAGCTGACATTTGCTGGCTGTATTCAGGGAAATGGCTTTCCTAAGCTCAAGGAAGAGGAGAGGGAATCTGTTTGGAAGGTCAGTATTTCCTTCAGATTTTCCTCCTGCACTCACAGCCATAACACATGGCTTCAGAGCCATTCTTCCCCGGCCTATTTACAAGCCAACCCAAGAAGGTAAAAAGCAAATGGTGAACCCAAAGAATGTCAATCTGTTCCTTTCTCCTCCCTTTCTGGAGGTGGAGGGGCCACATCTGGAAAGCAAAAATGACCCTTTCAATGCATGGGCCACCATGGTGCCTTCTGCTGTGTGCACTACTTCAGGGGAATGAAAAATGGGCAGAGCTGGCTCACTGGCCTCTCCAAGCTGGCTCCTGACAAGAACCTGGTCCTTGGATGTATTTATGCTAATTCTGACAGCTGATGAGAAAGCACAGAATGAGGAAAGGACAAGTACACTAACTCTTCCACTCAATTACCTCACTAGGAATTCTAGTCAGAAGTTGTAGGAAAGAATGAAAGGGGAAATCCAGGTCCCCTCCCTCCCTTGCAACTTCTCTTGGCTACACAAAGGAGGATGAAAAACGAACAGGCAGTCTGTTCAGAGGGAGTTGCCATTTTGGAAATGGTGTTCTCAACAGCTACTACCAAGTCAGGACTTCCATTCTGGACCCAGAGGGAACTACAAGCCCTTAAGATGTTGGTTGTTTCCTTTTTTTGGTCATAAATGCATACTAAATCCAACCAGCTGTTTCTTTAGCTCAGGTATACAGGAGTGTGTCCTTTCAGGGCTGAAGGTCTCAGCTATGATGTACATCATGTCTGCACAGATAACATTTAATGGTTTGTTATATGTGCATGCCCTTAGTGAAGCAGGAGGCTCTGGAGCGATCTATTGGATGGAAATGTAACTCACAGGATGGCCTCACTCCATTGCCTCCTGAAGTGATGCATGTTTAGGCAACCAAACCTTTACAACATGCGTCTCATTTTCATCCTCTGTACAAACTGCTCCAAGAAGTCTACTGAACTAAAGTCATGTTCCTTATTAACCTTGGCTACCCACAGCCAGTGCTGCATTGTGAGCAATTCTGCAGCTCCTGCTAACCAGTCCAATACCAATCTTGATTAGTATGGCTTGTCCAGGGATGTTTAATAGGATTTCCATCATGATCTCTGTGCCACTGCCCAGAAACCATATTGCACAATGTACTGTTTCACTCTGTATTCCCCTGCAGTCAGGGTCATTGCAGCCTAAACCACTGCAGCATTGCAAGCTTCATTTGTCTGAAGTTCCCAGGGATTCTGCCAACAGCCAGCAGCACATTATGTGCAATGAATTTTAAAGGTCCTTCTCAGGGCGAAAGTGAGAGGAGGCTTTCCCAGACCATTTGTCTAGGCCAGGGCAACTGCAGTCAGAAACACCTCGTTCCCTTTGCTGTGACAAAAGCCAGCCAGCCATCACCCTTGAGTTTCTGCTCTGCACCTTCAGATGAAGCATCATGTATACATCTAGGAGATGGGCTCCAGAGGCATATTTCACACAGAAAACCCTCTCACAGTACTTCACAAAGTAAAAAATGCTTAACTAGATGAAAACCTGGACAAGAAATCCACATTTAGCCTACTTGAGAACATAAATATGTGCTTGAAATATTGGGAATAACATTTGGGGCAAGCTGTGAATGTCATAAAAACCCCAGATGTTTGTTTACCCATTTTTATGTTTGTCTGTCTGTTTATGACAGTATGGGTCACATCAAGGAGGCATCAAACTTCTGCTGTAAATCAAACCCAGAATATATTCCAATCTTCAAAACTTTTTGTTCAAGGTGACCGATCAACTAACAACGAAAAGAACAAAGTGACACTGTGGAAATAAATTATATATTGATGATGGCTTTACCTCTGTAATATAGCAGCATTTTAGATTATTAAACACTAAGACATTTTAAAATCCTAATTTACTGTTCATCTCTGGCACAGAATGTTTGTCTTAGGCATCTTTATTATTCTTCCAATTATTACAAAATTGTTGTTATTACATAATTATATCATATTTGTACTTAGTTACACATTTACTTTCTCTTGCTGCTTTCTCTGCATAACACCATGTAGAAAATTTTAAATACCAACAGCAGTTATCAATGAAAACAGACGAACAATGTATGAATCTTAACAAGAGCACCCCATAGCAGTGGAACAAACTCTTAACCTTTCTTCTTACAGCCAGGACTTTTGTGTCCTTTTAAAAGCTGGGATGAGATGGCACCAATTCTGCACATGGGCATCAGCAGCTGTGGGCTGCGTCTCTAGCAGTGACCTAATAGTGTTCAGGTGGGACACTAAGACTGGAGGTGAGGTTAGCCTAACACTGGAATATTAAAGGGACAAAACAAACTGTTACTAGGGAAGGCATAAAAGGGGGGAAGCAAGTAATAATATCTTTTCTCAGCATGTCTTTATCTATAGTAGCAATTTCTTTAATTTAATGACATTATTCTGATATTCATATATCAGAACATATTCATATGTTCTGATTTCTTTCTGGTCAGTTACCTTCCTCTTCACAAGTCTGTGATTTGAGGCTTATATTTCTCAAACCCTTTAGAAGGGACACTTGTGCTTTCAGAGGCCCTGGGTGTGTTGCTTTTCCAGCACTGAGCCTGTGCTCTGTGATGAGCTCATCCCAGGCTCAGCACAGCATGGGGATGGACACTGACAGACCTGTTCTCTTGCTCTCACTGCTCCCAGCTGAGAGTTTGCATCTCACATCTCGAATTCAAACCTATATTGCCTTTGTGTTACTGAGGTACTCAATATATAGTAATTTCCTGCTATGTTGTTTTTTATTCTTCAGTTCTGTTTCTTTTTCTCTAGGCTGGTAGGGCTCTCAGAACAAGTTAGTGGATATTGGACTGCAATAATATTAGCTTATCTTACTATATGTTTTTGATTTTATTCTTATTTTAGTTTGTATATATGTGCTATCTAATTAACATGGTCAGAAAACTTTATTAAGTACCTCCACCACTTCCTTGATTAATGGAGAAAACTGGAGGAAGGGATCATCAATGTTCCATCTTCAAATGTTTTTAAATTACTCTTTGAGTTGAGGCAGCAGGTGCCTTGTTCCACTTTGTCCCTGCCCTGCATGCCATCAGCAATGACTTGGAATGTCATTGCTGGGTACGAAAAGGCTGTGTGGCGATTCAGAAGTATGTAAAGGAGGACCTGACAGTCTCCTGTCTCCAGGAGATTGCCACAGGCTACCAGAACAGGGCAGAACCTCTAGCTACAATAATATGTAAAAACATTGCAGCCTATGCCTGGGGAATGGGTGCTCTTGTCTGTAACAGGTCAGTGCTCCAACACCGTGCGTGTGGCTGTAGCTCTCACGTGCTGGGGTGGATGGCACAGCACATTTAATTCCTAGCACATATCAAGGATATTGGCTCTAAATATCAGAGTAAGGCTGTTCACTAGCACCGTTGTAGACAACTCTGTTTTTAAGAGGTTTTTTGGTTCATTTTGGCTGAGACATGGCATAACAACGCAGAAAAACAGATGATCATGGTCGTCAATCTTCTTCGCTTAGGAAAGCAGGCTACAGAATGAAAAGATGCAGCTCGTGACTAGGCCTGCTCAACTCAGTTCATCAACGAGCCGTGAAGGAAAGCATGAGGGGGTGCGTGGGGGATGTGAGGTCGGGGCGATGTGTGGAGGAAAGGGGGCTGGCCTGAGCCATGGCCGATGCGCAGCGATGCCGCGGGTGCTGCCACGCCGCCCGGGCCGCAGCGGAACCGGCGCGCCGGGCGCGGTGCCGCTGTGGCGGAGGGGCCGCTGTGGCGCCGGAAGCGCCGGGGCCGGGCCGGAGGCGGGAGGGCGGCGCCGGGCCCCTAGGGCGGGAGCGGGGCATGGAGAAGCTGCGGCGGGTGTGGAGGGGCCGCACGATGACCTTCGGGGTGCCCCTGCTGGTGAGCGGCGCGGCGGGGGCGGCACAGCGCGGGCAGGCCGCTGGCGGGGCCGGGCCGCGGCGGGCGGAGCTCCGGGCGCAGCTGAGCGCGGCAGGGCCGCGGGTGGGCGCTCTGCCGTCCCCTCCTCGGCAGCGGCTGTGCGGGGCGGAGAGGGGCGGCGGGAGCTCAGGGACGCGGTTATAAAACATACTCCTAAAGATATTCCTGACTGGGAGCTGAGGAAAATGCATTTTGCAGGTGGTTTGTTTTGGGTTTTTTTTTTTCTGTGAAACACCACTTGTGTTTCTTGTCTTATTTCTTTAGCTTTATTATTGGATTTTAAACTGCCGTGGTACTGTTGGTGTGATAATTTGTATATCTAAATAAGTGGAAAGATTTTGAGTGAAGTGAGTTGAGGTTATAGGTAGCAGCTGTGCTCAAACTGGTGAGTGAGACATAACTTTTTATAGTTGAGTTTAGGAGAGATCAGTAATGTCAGAGGATTAAAATAAAATTATAAGACTCTCTTACACACACTACCTCTGTAGATAGTGCACATTAGGTTGCACTTCTCTGTCCTAAGTACCTGTGTTCATAAGGGGGAAAATGAAAAAAACGCAGAGGCACCTATGGATAAAAACTCAGGAAGGAAGACAAAAGCAGCACCAAAGCCAGTGTGGTTTCTGTTTGTGCAATTCAGATCTCCTTATCCATCTATACAGTTGGTTTGCAAAAAGTAAACAAATTTCATTGTCGATAAAGAATAAGGCAAAGGATGATTCCAACACTTTTATAAAGCTATGAGAGAAATCAGTGCCATCTTCCTCAAATATTCAACAGCATGCCTTGGAA